AAAAAAAAAAAAAAAAAAAAAAAAAAAGATATCTGCTTTCACTGAACCAGTACTTTTCTTTTATTGTTTAAATTATTTCTATTTGAAACCTGAACATTATTAAATATTGTCACCATGTCCTTGCCAGTATTTGAGTTCCAAGTAGGAAATGAATGAAAAAATTTACTATGTCATTTGAAAAAGACTCACATACTGTTTATCTTTAAGGGTATCCTACTCAACAGCTAATCTAAAGATGTACAGCTATGAATAAAATTTATATTTCTAATTCTATAACTTTTAAGTTAGCATTGCAACTGACTGAAATGTGGTCATAGAGTGTACCATTGTAAACATACCAAACTGCCTATCTTTCACGAACTGGCTAACAGTTAGCAAATATTTAAGAATTGCCATAATCAGTGGAGTCATTTTTATATTTGTCATAAGATTCCTGAGATCTGTGGGTTGGGGTAATAAAATCCTGCCCAGTGCTAAATTCCTGCATTTATTCTTCAGCAGATATCAGCAGTAACACATTTAGAAGAAGATATGCAACACCCACTTCAGCTTTGGCAAGAGAAAATCTTGAAAAGCATTTAACAAATGAATCATGGCAGCCTCCAATAGAAAAAGAAGACAATGGCTTACAACCTCACAGGCAGAGACATTTTATTACAAGCTCAACAGTCAAGCCTCGTGAGGGCAAGGAACACTATGTACAAAAGATCTTATACAAACATAGAACAAAATATGATGACTCTCATGGACTGTTAAAATGGAACGAGACTCGATATTTTCAGCCAAACAATGCCCTTTCCTGTAAATATGTGCTCTGTGATCAACTTCAAGATTATATGAAAGAAATAAAACTAAATCACAGCAAACCTTCAAAGTCTGAGGAGGAACAAATCAAAATTAATAGGGCAATAGAAAAATTCCTTCAGAATGAAGATAATACAGATTTTTCAAAGCTATCAACAAAAATCAAGAGAGTATATTCCCCCCAAAAGGCTAATTTCTATGATCCTGATTTAGTAGGAAAAAAGAGGTTGGGTACATCACTGAAAACATCAACCCACTGGAAACAGCAGGAATGTCATGGTATCCAATTCATCAACTTGGATCTCAAAAAATTTAGCAAACATGGGGACAAAAACAAAGGAAAATGGTTTACTCATCCACAGATCCTGAAAAAGAAAAGAATCAAGCAACCTGATCTCAAAGGCAAAACTAAACAACAAAATTTAAGGCTGAAATTAAATTTATACCCTTTTAGGAAAGTCAGGATCCACCCAGAAAAATCCTTCCCAGAGATCCCAAGGAAACATAACAAATTAGTACCTCTGAAAATATTACCTACAACTTCTGAGAAAAAACCCAAAGTAAACCTTCTGTCTTCTGCAGATTTCCCTCAACAGCCAGAGAGTAACAGTGTTAAACTCCCTTCAGAAAGGCTGCTTCTCCAACATCCCACAAGGCAGATTCCGTTTTACCAAAGGAATGGTAAAAGTGCCCCTCCCCTCAAGGCTAAGACATTGTCTGCAGGCAACCAGCGCTCTGAGAAGGACTACTCCTATCCACCTGGCCTTTTTCCTAACGTAGATTCACCTACCTTGCCCCAGCCTACACCTGGAGACGCTGAAGACAACCCCTCACACTCTCGGTTCTCACCTGAGTCACAGAAAGGTGCACCGCAGCTTCAAGTAGACGCTCCTCATTATTCACCAGATACTTTGGAAAATGCAAGGAATCGCATTTCCCCATCTCCACCTGCCAGTGGGATTGGTGCCCACCAGGCAAGAGGGCCCACTGAGCGCATGACGCAAATTGAACCAAAGGCCAGTGAGCTGAACCATTATTCTCTGTCCCCAAGAAGCCAAACACAAATACTAGGTCTCCATAAGACTGGCACCTACAACGAGGAACACATTTTAGCTCAAAATCAAGTTTTACAACATAAAGAACAAAACTTTGTTCACGAACAACTTGGAAGTCAAACAAAATCATTAACGACAATGCCCAAAATATCACATCCGCTTTTGGACAGTGACATTATGGATCATGAAGGAAATAAAGTAGGACCAAATCTTCCTAACACAGAGACTTATGATTCTTTGCTCATTCCCTGGACACAGTCCAAGAACAACCTACCATTTAAGATGACAGAGTCTATTCCATACCAAAATACAGCAGAGCTTCCCAAGGAAATCAGTACTCCTCTCAGTGGTCAAGCCATTGGGCATCTAACCAACAGCAGCACAAAAGGAATTGACAGAATAAATACAATGCCAAGATTGGATGGTCCTGAAGATCTAGAGACAAAAATAGTAGAAAGAGAAGAAGAAAATATACCCCATGAAAGCAAGACAAATTCTAGTATCTTGATTTGCACCACACAAATGACCTCAAAAGGCACCACAAAAGAAAAGCAGGAAACTCAGGAAAATGGAAGAAGTGTGAAACCTGTATTATGTGATTCAAGTTCTGTTGGGGAGGCCATTACAGTTAAGGATTTAAGTACTGCAAGTTCTCATAAAACCAGAAGTGGAATACCTTCTAGTGAAATAGACCCTGACACTATCAATAATATGTATGACTTGAAAGAAATTCAAAATATTCAACCAGACAAAGATAGCAGAGCATATAGAGATGGTGTAATGATAGTGGAGACACATGTCAATTAAGAGACATTCATTTTAAGGCAGAAAATGAAGTATCTATAATCCCTAATAAAATGAATGAAGCTGGAAATTCTCCCCGCAAACCTGTGCTTTACCCACCATCTTCTGAATATGCCAATGCTTCACCTTTAGAAGCAGAACTGAGTGAACACAATAACTCAAAATGATAATTTTCTACTTAGAGCCCTTCAGAAAGGATAGATACTATGTATACATATATTTTAAAGGCATTATTTTGGAGAACAAGTTCTCAGTAACCCTTCATTATCAATAAGAAAGAAACTCAGAAAAATCGAATGGGGCCACAGGATATATCTGATACAACTAACAATACAGTTCTTGAAGGTGTGAGAAAATGAAAAAGAAGTATCTAGTGCTAGAAACATTTAAAAAGAGGGAGAGAAGTGCTCAAAGAAATAAAGGATTACATATGAAAAAAGGATTTAAGTAGATTTGCATTTGATGTTTATTTTATGGAAATTGCTATACATATCTCAACTGGTGGTATTACAATATTGCTGTTTTACACAGATGATTATATATTTATATTTATGCCTCATGTGTTTTCCTAATTATTGTACGAAAATAAAAATTCAGCCTTGTTCGTTCATTCTAGTCTAGCTAGTATGCATATTGGTATACTCATCCATTTGTAAGTGTTATGTTGGTAATTACCCTAGATCTTCAGTAGAAATCTTTAAAACCTTTCATTTTTTCAGAGAGAGAGAGAGAGGGAGAGAGAGAGAGATTTACAGGGATGTAAATTATTTTTATAAAATCTGCAAAATCCTAGAAATCCCCTAGGTGGAGATCTCAGCTTCATTCATTTTAGACAAAAGAGGGTTTGGGGATCAACACAATGGTTCTCGAACAAAAGGAATTTTAAAGAGCTTTATTGCCGACTGTTACGAAGATTTCCGAAAGCTAAATAACTCACTGGCATGCAGCTCTCAAAGTTGGATCTCTCAGGTTCGGCATGCCACTGTCGTTGAATGTGAGTAGTCCCCTTGTGCACAGGAAGTAAATACGCTTATGAATATTTGATTTAAAGGCAATAGGAGCATAAACAGTTTTCATTCAAAGTTACCTTTACTTGAAAAATATAAGTATACTTAAAGTAATTTTATTATTGATGCTATAGGAAAAGGTTTAAAACATACACTGACAGTATAGTTTCCTAATAGAGGGGGACAAGGGCAAAGAGAAACAAACTTTTCCTTCTCCTATTTGTCTCTCTGCATTTTTATCTACATCTGGAATTATAAAGCACAAAAGATTACCAGAATAATGTACGAGCGAAACATTGCTTACACCCCCAGGCTTCCTTTCCCCCTTCTTATTCAGGGCTGCCAGAGGAGGATGCAGCTCTCACATTCTGAGAGTCTTTAATCTTTTTCCTTTTTCTCATTAAGATCAGGAATTCTGTGGCTTTTCACTTCTGCTCCTGCCCCCACTATTTTTACCCGGCCTCTCTGCCTGAGCTCACCTCTCTGCCATCTGTCTGCCTGTCTTGCTCCCACTTCCTTCTGATAAGCACCTTTACAGAGAGAGGAGCATCTATGCCAATTTCTTGCATGATAATTTTATTCTAATTGACAGCTCCCTCCGCTCTGCAGATCAGGTTACTTTCCTCCCTTTAGCTATCTTTCGCTTCTCCTTTTCCTAGTTTTATTTAAAAGCCCTGCCTCTTCACTACAGTCCTTAGCTTTGTTCTTTCTCCTCACTGCCAACAATATCCTTGGAACATAGAGGCCTAATATTTACTCCTGGTCACTGGCTGACTCTCAGGATGCAGCAGTGACAGTTCTCCTGGACACTTGTCTCTTTCTCATTTCTGAAATCCAGTCTTTTACCTCTTTCTGATGCTTCCTTTGAAACAGTTCCCAGGTTTACCCCTGCCCCTGGGTCTCCACAGCAGCCACTATAGTCCTGGTATACACAAGTGGATTACTGTTACAGCAGCCCAGCTGGCTGATCTGGCTTCAGTATCTTTTGCTCTAGTTCAGCCCCAATAGTTCTCTGTCTTTATTGTGCACATAATAATAGTGTTCCTGTTGAAACATTTAGTCTCCAGCTCTATCCCAGAGATTTTCATTCAGTACATTCAGGATAGGGGCCCAGCTTTATTGCTTTAATACTTACTCCAGGGTAATTAAGAGCATGTAGTTGGCAGCCCACACATTAAGAAACAATGCTTAGCTATGATAGTGAAAATTAGAAGATAATTCAGCACTTGTTTCTTTATAGTAACTACATGTAATTGTTTAAGTAAACAAATTCTCCATACCCACCTCAAACAAATTTTCCAGAAATTATTTTTCTCATAGCTTTGCGCTGCTTTAGAGACATGTAAAATTTTGTATAATTTCATGTCCAAATTCCCTATTCTGTTTGCCAAAATTTTCCAATATATGATACTATCTATCATGACTCTTTCCCACCTCCCACTGTTTCCCAACAACTTTTCCTCATCTGCAATACACTGAGATTCTTACTATTCTTCACGTGCTATGTTGAAGTCTTAAAAAATATTGTATTAGAGCCTATTTATGTTACAAAACATTGGGTTTCAACGTGGCAAGTTCACACATGATAATGTTTTTCCCCGTATTACATATTTGAATCTCAACTAAGAAGACACACAAAAGGAGAACATACTGTGCTTCAAATGCAAGGAATGAGGAAAAGATTGATGTGAAAAAATGATTAGTCAGATTGACAACCTTCATAGTAATGAACATCGGACCACGATGTTAATGTCCTAGAAATCTAAAGATGGGCCTATTTCAAATGAGGCCTAGCATAGAGATTGAACCCGCCAGTGACCACAACTACTATTAAGCCCCCCTTTTCTTTTCTCCCAGTGAATTTGCACAACTATTTTCACTTGAAGAGTTTTTCTCTCACAAAACTTTTATTCAGCAACCTATTTATGGCTTTTGATCTCAGATTTTTCTTTTTTCTTCCTTCCTTCCTTCCTTCCTTCCCTCCTTCCTTCCTTCCTTCCTTCCTTCCTTCCTTCCTTCCTTCCTTCCTTCCTCCCTCCCTCCCTCCCCTCCT